TTTAATAAATTTGGTTTGGGGGAACACTTCAAAATTATAATCAATGACAAAACCTTAAATTTTCGGTAAACATCCATGTATACATGTATACTTAGTTCGAAATGATAAAAAAATAGGTGTTATAAACATGCACAAACTAATAATCTTCATTTTCTGAGAAGTAACTTACCAGTTTCGCCAACATCAGAACCTTTTAGCATGTTGCATCCACACACAATCTTGCGGAAATCATCATAGGTTATCTGGAAGACAATGTATGCACCGAATCACTCAAGAGAATACAAATGTGAACCAATCAGCTTAAATGATCAGGAATTTATCGACAAAAACTAGTAACAGCTGTGAAGATACGTTAAACTTTATGAGTGATGACTTTACGAAGGGGTTAGTTGGGATCATCTAAAACAAATGTACTCATCTTTTCGAGTTCTACACCTTAAGGATTTCCTTTTATCTTTGTAATTTTCACCACATTTGATTTATTACATATTGTTTCGTACAATCATATTGGATTCTACTAGCATAGGTATCAGCTCAGAAACAGGCACAGGCCAGTGTAAACATATTAATTGACGAATAGTTTTTGCTTGAGAATTACAAAGTTCAAAAATTGCTAGAACAGCACTAGCTAACCTTGAAAAACACACAAATAACCTAAAGCATACCCATCAATTCGAATAATAGACTTTGATGTTTTTCTAGTCCACAAAAACAGTCCTTATTGTATATAACAATATTCTTTCCCACAAGTTTACATCTTTAATATGCCTAGAATAGTGATGTGATTTCTCATTCACATATATTATTATAAAAAAATACATTAAATTTACTTCATAAAATAAGTAAAATACTCAATCTTTCAGTCATAACCTCATTTGCACCATTTCCAAGATGATTTTTCAAAAAAAAAAAAATAAATAAAATAACAGCGTCAAATATGGGTATAACAAGATCAAAAGAACTAACTGCATCTTGAATTAACACAAGGGACTGTTATTTTGGGACGACAATAGGTGGAGAAAGGGGTAATTACCTTCCCATCTCCATCAGAATCAAAGCAATGTACCATATCCGCTAACTCCTTTTCTGACCAAGTAAAATCATGGGCCATGGCAAGTCTCTGCACATCCCTGAGTGTGAAGCCCCCTTTCCCAGTTTCTGTTGAGCATTTCGTTGAATCAATAAAGAAAAATAATTTTCCACAAATGCAAATGAAAAATAACGAACTTCCAGTTATTTTAAACATACCTTAAGAGGTGCAGAAATAATGATAAAATTGATTTTCTAGGCTCACACAAGTTGATATTATCATGCAATTTGTAAATCAAATTTAACTCATATTGATGTTTCTGCTATAGATATACATACACAAAAAATATATGTTGTACATGTTTATAATATAGATGCTCCATTTTGTTATAATCAACTTGATACACAACCAGAACCAGAAGAAATATCCCTATTTAACTGGCAACTAAACCCAAACATGGGTGAAGAGCGACTTACGTCAGATGAGTTAAGACTCATAAAAATTAGAAAAGTATAATATCTAACCATTAAATGCATACAAAAATATCGATCAAGAATAAACTAATATCCATTACCATCAAACTGAAAGAAGTGTACCAGCATTTCATCCTCAGACATTTTAACTCGACCGCCGATCTGCTCACGACACATAAGGAAGAAACAAATAAAAAACAAATAAGAGCAAAAAAAGAGAGATATGCGGTTGTACTTTACATAATAACCAGTCATTTATATCCGCACGCACCGGCTTTTTCCTCCTCATCTTTCCTAAATCATTTTGGCTGCGTGGAATTTCTTTTCTTTTGTCATTTGCTGCAACATTTGTAGTATCTTGTAGCGAAAGAGCAACTGCCTGCAGCATAAGATAAATACTTAAAAATAACACTAACCACAAGAACATGATATCTTCAACAACTTGAAACCTTAAAACCAAAAACAAATTGAAAAAACAAGCCCCGTGATGCAAAATTGAAGAAGATAATTGAAAAATTGGATCTTGACCTGCATCAAGGCTTCATCGTCATCCTCCACGAAATCCGAACTGGGAATCGTTCTTTGAACAGCACCCCGCTTTTTAGGCGTAGCTGAATTTTTCTTCACCTGGAGCAAAATTCGATCAATATATACATGGTGCTAAACAAGCCAAAACATGCACCTCATTTTTTTAATCATGAAAAACACAACACAAATTAAGCTATTCAACATTAAAAAAGCAGTAAACTATCAACAAACGAAGATGCAAAAGACGATTCACAAGCAAACAGTACCTTCTTATGAGAGATTGAAAACTCCTCATCACTTTCATTATCTTCGGACGAGGAGCTTGCTCCCTCATCGTCTTGAGCTGGATAATACTCGTCATCCTCGTCGTCGATTTTTCGCTTCCCCTTTCTATCTTTATTGTTTGTATGAGCTTTATGAACAGATCCCATGAAGGAATTTGCCATTTTGCGCAGCCCCAAAGCCTCCATTCTTTTCTTGTTATCTTCAATCCTCTTCAACCTCTGCATTTCGTAGTTCGACACTGTCTGAAGATTTTCTGATGAAACGTGTTCGTCGCCATCGGACTTTGAGGGTTTCGATTTTCGCATTTTTTGTGGTCAGGGTTTTCGATTTCTCGTAATGTTCGTATGATATTTGGGGGTTTGTTTTCTTGACATGAGAAAATGGGAGGGCGGGAATTTTGTAC